GCTCCCCCTTTCTCTGCTCTCGCCCCCCGCAGGAAGCCGGAGCGTCCCCCCCGGTACCGGACCACGAACCAGGTGTACGGCAGCAAAGCCCCCACGGTGCACGAGGTGCCGGTAGGTAGGAGGGGTGCGGGGTGACCGAGGCTCCCCCGGGGGTGTCAGAGGCAGGACCCCACCGTTTTGGCCTCTGCCCCATCCCCTGGCAGCCAGCTCCCCAAAGCAGGTGAAGTGCCCTTAGGAGCGGCACCCCAACTCCCGCGTGTGGCAGGAGCTATTGGTGCTGCCATTTAAAAAGTTTTTCTCCCCTTTTCTCACCCTCGCAGACCTCCTTCCACGTCACCTCGCACGCGTTTTCCAGCACTCTGGGACAGTGTGGCATGTACAGAAATAACGGGCTCAACACCTCCCTGGAGAAGAGCCACGTCACCGGCCCGGGCAACTTCATCACCAGCTCGGACCACCTCAACTTCCATCCCAGCTACAACCCCAGCGCCCCGTCGCACTGTTAGACCTGCAGCAGTGGTGATGACAGCATCAACCTCCTTCAGTTTACTGCTGGCTGCCTAAATAAAATCCAAAAAACCTGCCTAAAACCCCATGAGCAAGCAAACAGCACTGACCTTATCCTAAATCTCTTGCTAAACCTCATCTGGATGCATGACAGGAGGCACAACGCTGTCACAGTGTAGCCTGTAACCTCGTTTAGCAGCTATTTCACCAGGAATAATTATTTCCGTCGTGCCCTGTGTCATCAGGCTGGGACAGGGCACTCCTGTTAGAGCCCTCGGCTTCGTCACCCCTCCCGAACGCAGACTTGGGGTGGCACAGTTGATACCACCGAGGAGGGTAAAACTGCAGGCTGTCAGGAAAATAGTTCATGTGGCACAACAAGCAGCAGCATATTAACACACGTGCTTCACACTATTAACTACCTAAGTCAGGATTTAATGAGAATTTTTCTCCTGAACAGAGAAAAAAAAATAAAAATCTTTCAGTTTGGGAATGTGAGACTTGCTGTTTCAATGGGATGAATGGCTACAAAATTAGCAGGTTAAAGGAAGTGGTGCATTTCTAAAAATAACCCCCCAAAACCCCCAACCATACAACAGTTTAACAGGACTCCTACTAGTTAAGGTCACACATTTAGCTTTGGGAGAAAAGCAGTTTAAATCTCTTTGTTATCAAAACCGAGCTCAGTAATTTGTTGGGAAAAACACAGTGACTTTGCTACTAGATGAAAATCATTAATTTACAGAATGAATGTGACTAGGAATAACAATTTATAAAGATTTAATGGGATTAAATGTCAGTTAAATAGCTCATGCACCATTTTACTTAATTTATAGGCAGCATATAGTTACAAATACTACAACAATATACATTACATATGTATGTATTCCCTTAACCTTCTCTCTGTTACTAATGATCCTTTAAACTCAGCTCATGGACCACAATCATTAAAAATTAAGATCTTTAAACTGTTTCTGTACTGTTTAATGAATAACCAAACTGCTTGTTTTCCAGAGGTATTCATTAAGACTTTGGATTTCCTGTAGCAAGCACATTCATCTTTCTTACCTCTCAAAGCTACTGTTTTAAGAAATTATTCAAATAAAGACAATAAAAAAAATATTTTCAGTTTTATTGGAACAACTGCAGTTACCAAGCCAGTGAAACGGCACCATTTAGACAGTAACTGCACTAAAAGGAGCACCTTGGCACATTTGGCTCAAAAATTAGTTTTGAAGAGAAACCAGTCTGCCTGGTTATGGGTGAGAAATGGCCCTACCTTACAGGTAGTGATAGTATATATTAAAAATGAGCATAATACTGTTCTAACTATTTCTAAAAAAATTTAAAAATGAGTGTCATAGGATGTCTGAGTACCCCTGCAAATATTATTCTTCAAATGTTAGAAATATTCTCTATTTGTGTCATTTTTATATAGTCTTATAAACTACACAGGCTGCATGATGATGATCTATTTAAACATACTGGTGAGGCAGAGGGATTCTGTTGACTTAATAATGTCACTAAAGCCTGAAGTCCAAAACTGAACTATGCATCAGGCCTGTACTTGTGCTTTTTTTAAACACCCAGCGTAGCTACATGTTCCTGGCCCCACCAGCAAGATTTCAGTCACATCTACCAAAGAAATCCAGTTTTCACAGCAATGCCTTTGGTTATCTCAAACAGAAGAGTAGCTGGCGAAAGTCGCATTTGCTGAAAACACAGCAGATACATTGGAACAAGTAAATATACTAAGCAGGAATGGGCCCAAGTTCACTTTAAGAATATTTAACGTATGAAAATAAATAAGCGACCCTCCATCATTCATTGCTATTCTTCTGTTACACTCTAGACAATACCTTGAGCTTCTCATAACATCCCTTTCTTCTCCTGAAATGAAAAATATACAAAAGTGCAGAATTAATATAAACACTTGTGACAATTTTACATATATTTTTATCCACATTTTTTTTTTTCTGCAGGTGGAATAATTTAGGGATAAGATTGCATCTTAAAAATATACATTTAGTGGGTTTTGTCACATATTTTCCACCTGTTTTCATACTTCATCTAAAAAACACCCACCTCTTTTCTTCCTTGCCTTAATTTCTTCCTTTTTTTGTTTTATTCTTGAACCGAAACCAGTTCCTTTGAACAGTTTTGCAGGCAGTTTACCTTATGTCACCCTCGTACAGACTCTATCCTCAGATGCCATACAAATTCAAAATATCCCAAAGATGTCAAGTCTTCTTGCAGAGAACCTACCCAAACCAGTCTCTTTCTACTCTATTTTGAAAGCAAGACTTTCACATTTGCAGATAAAATTATGTGAGGCTGTACGAACAAACCAAGACAAACTGCAGTTCTTACAGGTTTGAAAAATTAAAAAGCAGATACATTAATAAAAGAGGTGGTGGCAGAGATGGTGTGTTCCTCGTTTAAAGCAGCTACATGTCAAAACACATCTTCCTAAAATAGCAGCAAAGGACTGTTTATAAAAGATTAAGGTAGTCCTTGTGATCCCCTGAGGATCCTTGAAGACTGCCCTTCCTGAAGCACAGAACAGTCACTGGGATAAAAATAAAACAATATCCTTATTTTCAAAGACCTGGGCAAGCACAGATTTTCCCAAGAACTCTGGTATTGCAGTCGGAATGCTGTCACTTACCGGGAGCCAGAATAAAATATACTGCGTAGTTAAATAACATCTAAATGAGCAAGTTCTCTTATTTTATTCTGAAAAATAAAACCATTGTGTGTTTTTTAAAAGTATAAACCATCATTCTTTTTTTAAATAAAAAAACCCTTCTTTACGTGCTTGAGGAGACCTGAGTTTGTGGTTCCATGCATGTTATCTACTGCAGTAGATAAAGGATCAAATTAATCTCAGGAGGGTTAAAATAGTGGAAAAGAGCTTGTTTTGGGCACTCACCAGAGCTACCACTGGTGTGCTGAAGAGGGCCAGGAAGGTTGTACAGTCTGTGCTTACTCTAGGGTTGGCTGCCTGTTATGATCAGTATCAGTAGGGGAAAAAAAATACGCTTTTGGTACGGAATCTATCAACATGCACCCTCGAGAGACTTGTACTGCAGTCCCAAACCTGGTACTACACGCGTGGGACTCTTGCTCATGAATTTATTCTCACTCAGTATAATCCTTCTACAACCTTTAATCTGTAATGTGTAAGAGTGATTCCTTACTTCTCCAAGACACCAGACTTGTCTTTTTTGAATGACTGCTGAGAACTGCTCCCAGAATGACGATAGTGCCAGCAGAGTCACGGCATCCTTCTCATGGAATTCCAGTTCTCGAGATGTTTGTTGACACTCTTTCGAGTTCCAGCCCCTGTGGGTGCTTGCTCCTCCTCAAGTCAGCAATTCTCATAGGACAAACTCTAGAAAAATCA